CCCCTCCCCCATCCCCCCCCACCCCCACTTACCTGAATGTCAGGGTTCTTCTCCCCTGCACAATGTTCCTCCTTTTTTTTTTAGCTCTGCGTTGCTCCGCCCACTTAGTCGCATCATTCCTTCACAGACCCTTTGATGGGATCTGGGTGACAGCCACTGGGTGTCCTGGGTGCCTGGCACTGCACCGGTGGGTGGCCGGGGACAGCACAGGGAACACTTGTTTCTCAAAATAGGGATTGTCCCTGGGAAATGGGGACGGATGGTAACAATACAACAAAGAGACGCTGTATGTGGAGCAAGGGCAGCAGTGGGAAAATTAGGTGGAGGACTAAGGGCAGCACTGGGGCAATAAGGAGGAGGAGTAAGGGTGGTAGCAGAGGGACAGTGAGAAGGTGGAGTAAGGGTAGCAGTGGGGAAGTGAGAAGGAGTAAGGGTAGCAGTGGGGCAGTGAGAAGGAGTAAGGGTAGCAGTGGGCCAGTGAGAAGGAGTAAGGGTAGCAGTGGGGCAGTGAGAAGGAGTAAGGGTAGCAGTGAGGCAGTGAGGAGTAAGGGTAGCAGTGGGGCAATAAGGAGAAGGAGTAAGGGTAGCAGTGGGACAGTGAGAAGGTATAAGGACAGCAGTGGAACAGTGTCAATGAGTAAGGGCAGTAGTGGGATGGTGCGGAGGAGTAAGGGCAATGCTATGCCAAAAACGAGGACTGAAGAGTGACATGACAAGGCAAGAAGGCCAAAGTACACTCCCCACCCATAAGCTGTGACCTACTTCAGCAGTTGCAGGTCCTGCTCTACTTGCCCACCGCTGAAGAACCCAAAGCAGCTGCCTCTTCAGCCTACCCCTTGGCCTGGCCCTGGGAGTGAGGGTAATGAGGACCAATAAGAAGGAGGAAGAGTAAGGGCATTGCTGGACCGGTAACCAGGAGGAGAAAGGGCAATGCTGGGCTAATAATGAGAAGTAAGGGCAATAAGGAGGAGGAGAAAGGGCAACAGTGTGAAGTAAAACCAATGCTGGTAAATGAGGAAGCCTAAGGGCAATAAAGAGGGGTAAGGGCAATGAGAAGGAGGAGGAGCAATGGCTTCAGGGGGACATTGGGATGGAGCAGTAAGGGCAGTGGTGGGATAGTGAAGTTGCGGAATATGGTCAGGGGGGCCAAACTGCGGCCCTCCAGCTGTGGTGGAACTACGAATCCCATGAGGCATTGCAAGATTCTCACAGCCACAGACATGACTCCCGGGGGAGATGCTTAATGGGATATGTAGTTTCACCACAGCTGGAGGGCCGGAGTTTGGCCATCCCTGTTCTATGTCCTATGTTTCAAAAAATGTCTCCGCAATCTTCATAAGAAATGTGACCTCCGCCATCTCTGCTGAAGATTCCAAGCGCTGATCTATGAAGACCGAACTTACTGCCAACCACAAACATGGAGAATGCGGAGCGGTGACACGGATGTCATTTATATCACATGGTGTCACTTTACATACCGGGGACCCTCCCCCCCCACCCCCCCGCCTATGATGCAATAATCTGCGTCCTGTCACTGATCTCCCGCCGCTGACGTTCATTCATCGCTCACATCACACTGGTGACAACATTGTGTCAATAAAAAGCACATTTTGTTTGAAAATGTTTCTTTATTTTTTTTAAAGTTGAATTCTTGGCGGATATAAAAGACGCGATTTGACGCGGCTCTGTAATAATTAACTGCTTGCCGTCCGCCTGTCGTAAAAAAAAAAAAACAGACGGCAAACCCCCATTGGCGAGTTGCCGTAAATAAACTGCTTTTTTTTTCTGCTTGCGCGCGCCCCCGTGCAGAACAAAATTGTTACATGCAAACAGCCGATACCGGCTGTTACACTGCACCCTCGCCTTCAATCCCGGGCTCCGCTTCCCCATCTGCGGCCCGCGTGGGTGTCAGAAGGAAGATCAACATCTTCCTCCTTACTGATCTTCCTCCGACGTCTGAATGCGGAAGTGATGTGTATTACATCACTTCCGCATTCAGCTGTCTGTCCTCTGGCTGCTATAGCCGGAGAAGAAGCTGGTGAAGCAGATCTGTGCTTCATTAGCTTCTTTGGGGGTCCCCAGGTGACATTAGGGGAGACCCCTAATGTCTCCATAAAGAGGACCTGTCAGTGTGCCTGTGCTATCACATAGGGGGATTGTTATCCCCTATGTGATAGCAATAACATTAAGTGTATAAAAAAAGTTAAAAAACAAAAACAAAAGTCACATATATAAAAAAAAAAAAAAATGTTTAAGTCCCCCACGTTTACGCACATATAAACGTAAATACGCGTCAGCTGCGCCAACATGCAAAAACGACAATTGTGCTACACATGTTACATGTCGGAGTGAGAGCAATCATTTTAGGGCCATCCATCACTGATAACACTAAAACAATGAGCAGTAAAAGCTTTTAAGGCGTCTATGGCCAATTTTGGGTATTGTAGTTTTTTGAGATTTCGCAGGCGCGTGCAATTTTAAGGCTTGACGTGTTTGGTGTCTATTAACCCGACGTGACCCCGACTTTTATATTTTACCAAAAAATTGGGTAATAAATGTTTTATATAAGTTATAAAACATTTATTGTTACCCAATTTTTTGGGGAACCTTTTTTTTTTTTAAGTTTCGGTAATTTTTCCTTTACAAGGCCGGGACAGGAAGGGGGTGTAAACATTGCGGTCAGCAAGGGGTTAAAGTATATCTAAATCTATTTATTTTTCGGTTTTTGATGGGGGACGTAGGGATGCACCGATAGCGCTACTTGACGGGAAACCGGCTCCATGTTCCCTCGTGGCACTGCCGGTCAGAAATCTCCCTCTGACCGGAAGAGCCGGCCAAACAGCATAGAGCCGACTTCCCGGCCAATCAGGAAGCCGGGCGGCATGTAATGACTAGAGATGTCCAGTTCATGAACGAATCGTTCTTTTGAATCTATTCACTGAACTGGTGGAGTCGATTCAGCTGAGTGAGCTGAACCGTTTGCAGCAGCTCCGTGTGACGCATAGCAGAGACTCTAGCTGGCTAGCTTGTAATATGACCCTAGAGTGAAAGCCAGGCTTCTGCCAGCCCCTCCCCTCCCTGCAACCAATCACATCCGAGTCACAGTACACAGAGTCTAATCATATGAGTTGGCTGAGTCTAAGAATCGAAAGAATCTACTACCGTGTTTCCTCGAAAATAAGACACTGTCTTATATTTTTTTTGCCCCCAAAAAAGCACACTAGGTCTTATTTTTGGGGGATGTTTTTTTTTTTTTTTAATTTGCAACAAAATGTACAACCATTCAAAGTTATGTTAGAAGTTAGTAACCGGCGCTATAAAGGGAGTATCGGCTAATGCAACTCTGCTCCCTCCGCCGCAGCCTGGCTTTCTACAGCACCAGCCTCCTTTGCCATCAGGGACAGGGGTACCAGCGGTGCAGCAGAGGGGACATCAGACAGCGGACAGCGCGGTACCATTTACCGGTACACATTACAGTACCATTACATTAAGCGGCGCCTTCAAAGGGGCAGCTGTTGGGGAAGTATGGTACTGAGTGCTCCCTGTCACTGCGCAGGCCGGAGGGAGTCCCCTGTCATCCCCTTAATACAGTATGTCCCTGCAGGCTGATCTGCTGCATCTCTCCTGCTCTTCATGTTCTCCCTCACATGCTACCACCAAACTAGGTCTTATTTTCGGGGTAGGTCTTATATTACAGGAATCTTGAAAAATAGTGCTAGGTCTTATTTTCGGGGACACAGGGTAGTAAAATAATCGAATGAGTTTACTTAGTTAGTAGACTCATTTGATTCCTTAACTCAGTAAACTCTTTTCGATTCTTTGAGTTAGAGTCCCCACCAGTATAACAATACAAGGAATCAATTAGCAGGTTGCAGCAGTGATAAGGGACAGAGAGAGTTTAGATTAGAAACTCCAGTCCTGAGCTTTTCACCCCCCCATACTTGGATTTGTTTAGTTCCGACAACCATGACCTCTACAGTGGGGCAGATAATTACACATTTACAAAAAAAATTAAAAACATTTTTTTTTTTTAAATAAACAATTTTTGGTTTTAGTTCTTATTTATTTTATTCTTTTTCACTTAAATTTATTGACAGTGTTAGGATCAATGTACCCCAGGAGCTGCCTGACACCCTTCTCTGAATCAGCGTC